GAATGCCTAGTTGGTGTTTTTATAGAATTGATCTTGCTAATGAATTCTAGGAATCGGTTTCGGTGAATTACCTCAAGTCGTTATAGTTAGCCATAACTGTGTATTTGCGAATACGCCTGTCGTTGAGGCACTTAACGTTTAGCTTCTTGGAGAAAAAGTCATTTAATTTATGTCACTTTGATCTACAGTTTTTACAGTATGCCTAATATTTTAACCAAGGTATTATTTAAAAATGCACACATAGATTTTGTTCAGACTGTCTGAGGAATTCCGATGAAAGAAGACTGATGTATAGTTTTCACTAATTTAAGAGTAAATTTTGTCTCCAATCGATAACACTTAGGGGATCACTGGAGGGCAGAAAACACCGGGCAGCCACTTCATTCCAGTCTGTGACTTTTCATGAGTATACGCCGATGCCCTTCAGGCTACGACTTCAGTGCATTCCGTCACTACAATAATTCATGACTTCTAACCTTTGTCATTTATCTTGATTTTCAGCCACAGTCACCCGATATTATTGTTACTTTACCCCACACTGGAGTTGACTGACTCTATCAGTCCATCTTCGACTCTGTGATAGATGTGCATTATTTGGAGAGCCTTACACTGGGACGACAGGAATGTCCACTGATCCACGATTTGCAATGATTTTCCTATTAATGTCAATTTTTGATGAAAATGAATTCCTGTAGGCTGTAATTTAAACATTCAGTAATACAAACTGGCAAAGGAGATCTGGTGAGGAAGTCATAATAACTGATATAATCAGGAAAAATTAATTATATCTACATCGAAAACTGATGTTAGCAAAGACTGGATCAGTTACAGGATTTCATCATGAGCTGACATTAATTAGAGAACCATAGGAAAACCTGGGAGTACTGTACAGCTGTTTCGTCCTGGTGCTAGGGACTCTTCATCAGTACGCACCCACCACAAGGGATCGAACCCAGTACCTCATGGTTACAAGGCGAACTAGCTCGTAGACAATTAAGTCACTGGGACCCGATCCAATGGTCCTTGAAATTTAACTTCTGCCAATTCACGACATAGCGCGACCGCTAGCCAATGTCTTCGGCGAGTATTTGTCCTCACACCCGACCTGATGCACCCTACTGGATTAACCATCAAACTTGACCCAGCCCAGCTGCCTCCTAAACATCTCTAAGCCATTAGTAATTCTGGCAAGAAGGGAAGGATGAGTGTGTGGCTGGCCACCTCACCCCATGAAACAGAGACACCACTGCTAGTGAAACTTCAAATATCAAATATCTTGAAGCCCTATTTTCCACTCGCAACTCAAAGCAATGAAATATCTGAAATGGCTTCAGAATTTGAAAAAAACAAAAACCGATATTTATGTAACAGATGGTATCTTGACAGTGAAATGAAACTTTCGAGTTTTAGTAAGATTCAAACTAGCGGTGAGCGGATAATCATCCCAGCTGTGTAACAGTCGAGCTTTTTCTATCCAGCTGTCGAACAGATCATCCTTTGACAGTAATCATCGCGGGTTGTGTCCACCTGTCAAGTGGACTATCAGTCTAACATTACCACACACGCACACACACACACACACACACACAGACGGGTTGATAGAATAAGAGACTGCTAGAGACCGTTTGTTTACTCTTCTCTCTTCTTCACTACTCCTAAACAATTATTTATAGCCAATAATAAAAGCGAGGGGATGAATGAACACAAGAAGTAGATAAAAAATGAAGAAAAAAATAAAATAAAAGAATCACATTACATTATCTCTACTCGTTCCACTGTGAGTTAGACTTTTTATGACCACTAAATAAATTTATGGTTCATAAATTAATATGCATAATAATGATGATGATAACGAGAATAATAATTATAATAATTATTATCATTGTTGTAATTAATGGCATTCCTCTTTCAGTTTTTGTTCCACTTTTTCTCCCTCCATATTCACTACTGTCTAGTTGAGGAATCAATACCTACATTGTGAGCAACACCCAGTATCATCATCATCATCAACATCAGCAACAGCTGTAACTGTATCTTACCCATCCCTATGTATGCTAATTCTAAATGTATCTGTGTACTTCTATGCGTACGTCTATGTGCGTATGTGTGCGTGTGTGTGCGTGTGCGCGTGGGTAGCATACAAATTCTACTTCATCAAGACAGTAGATAAATTGATGACTTAATTTAACAGGACATTAGTAACAGTGAACTGAATACTAGACTTTTATCGTTATCAGTAAATTTTTCTGTAAAAATTGTATAACTCACTGACAGAAAACCACAGGACAGACTGGAAATATGCATTAATTAGTTGGTTAACGAGATAATTACTCGAACAAACAAAAGCAAAACTATCCGGTTTCACCGGTATATCTCGCAAAGGATTAAACACTGAAATACCGACAATTTACAGACATCAGCTGTGACGACTAATTAACTGTCGAATAATCCATATGACCACCAGAAGGCACCTCTGGGAAGTAGCTAAAACAACAAGTCAATCGGTTTTGACATTTTTAGGAATATCTGCAAACCATTTAAGGTAGCGGGGGGTTTTTCCACTTACTTTCTTTCAAATAACTGGTGAACCAATTACAAATTATTTTGAACCTATCACAAATGCAACCTTCGAGATATACAAATCACTGAAAAGCATTCTCCACCTTTTTGTTTTCGGTTTACTTATGTGTATTTTCTACTACCGCGTCACAACTTGTGTGAATAGTAACATGCCTTGGATGAAAAACACTTTAAACTTGGTACTTTTTCATTATAATAGAGGTTTTTTTGTATTTCCCAATGAAAGAAAAAACAAAACGAGATTGTTTTTACTGACGTTTCGCTATTTAATGCTAATAGCTTTCTCAAAGTATTGGTACTTTTTCCTTTTCTCCTCTTCTTTTATGGCCTACTTTTTCTAGCTGACTGAGTTTTGGTCTCATGCACTTTATTACCTTTTATGAATTTGCATAAAGTAAGAACAAGAGCCTGTGCAGAATAAGATGGCACTGTCATTTATTTCGTTGGTTTCGCGTCAGCTGTTTACAGTCTAAAGAAATTATCAAATTTTTGTACAGAACAGGTCTAAAATACTTGCCGATATGATATGATATCAGTTCTTAGAAATTACACTTATATTTCTTATACTCAGAAAGATCAAAACTAAGTGCTTCGACACGGTGGTAAAAGAGTTACCTAATAAGGACAAGAAGTGAATAAGGTCATGAGTAACTAGTAAACTGAGTAAGAATTTCGTGAGTTCAACTCAAATCATACAAGCAAGAGACAAGCAAAGTCACACTATATCAAGGGCAGGAGAGGTTAAAATAAAAGATTGACTAACTATACGAAAGAGGATGTAAAGACATCGAGTCACTAGCGCAAGGAAAGAGTGATAATTGCTTCTCTCTGAACACTCAAATCGAGTTTCAGGCATTTGGTAGCCATTGATCCGGAAAAGTTGAGGAGATCTGAACTGTTTTTCTGTAGATAATTCCAAGGGATTTCGTAATGTCCACCGCATGACCTCTGTCAGTGAGAAGTCGGGCAATGACAACACTGTAAACGTCTGTTCCCCTAAGATGTAGGCTTTTTGGTACATGTCCAAAAATCGATAGTATGTCTTCCTTTCTGTTCTCCCAATGTAACTGCTACTGCAGATGCATGTAAATTTGTATTCACAGTTAGGGTTAACATGAGAAGGGTATCTGTCAGCCTTTTACTGCACCAAAGAGCATGTTGTCTGATAAACAGGAACCAACAAAGCTGGAGGGTTGGCTCTGGCTAGTGGCATATTTAACCTTCTGTTGACTATTTCTGCAATATTACCATCTTTAAAATCAAGTTGAATGAAGATAGGCTTCCTTCTCACTGTAGTTTATTTGGCACTTAAACTTTCACACCGTCTGCACTTATCAATGAACTTATGAGAGTAGCTATTGTTATTCACACATCTTTTCGAGAGTCGGGAACTTTCTGTTTAATTTTCCTATAGAGCAGATTTTCACAACTCAATAAAACAGAGTTTTGACTAGTACTCGTTTATAGCCATTTTGAAGAAAATTATTAAAATTTAAGTATTTTGCATTTCATGTAGGATTTTGGTGAACTGACCATTGGAGACTTCCATATCCCAAGCACCAGTTGGTGATGTCAAGGAAATGAAACTTACCAAGGCTTTTATGTTCCTTAATGAGTTCAATGTTTGTATGTCAGTCGTTGAATAATCCGAGTAGGTAGGATGCATGACTATCACTGGCTAAAACAGGGCTAAGTGGACACTATCTATTTGACTATAAAAAGTGTTGTCACACTGAAACTGTGCACCCATGGCACACATTAGCAATAGGCTTTTGGATTCCGAAACTGGCAGTAAGAGAATATCAGAATGCTGACAAATGATATCGATAGTTTCATTTATTGAGATGCTTGTGAACAAGGAGGTTGCATCAAATGATACCATGAACTTATTTGAAACGTTCATGTGGTTCAGACTTTTCGCTTTTCGGTTAAATGAAATAACCCTGTCGAAGTGAACACGACCAGCTGTTAACGTATGGATTCCACCTTATTTGGAACTTTTTGCTGAGGTGAGCTGATCATAGAAAGTATAAATCTCAAGGGGTCATCTCTGTATGTCTGATCCTTGATTTCTTGCCAGACAGTCTCAGAGTCATAAATTTTTGTCATCTTAAAATCACTTTCTTAAGTCCTGCTAATATTCATAACTGCTTGCTGAAGATAAAATAAAACAGAGTAGAAATGTGAAGATAAATGCGAAATAAAATAATAGTAATAGTGACAATATTAATATTAATGTTTGTTTTCAGTGCAGAACGAGTAAGTCATGCTGGAATATTAACTTTGTTGAGGAAAATATCAGAAAGATTATTCCGACACTTATTTATTCTATCTTTTTAAAGTATTTCACCTCACAAATGACTTGTGATAAAGCTCTACCCTAAAAGTCTTTACCTGTTTTCTTTTTTTCCTTTCTTCAGCTGACCCACTTTACATGGGTGCATTACACCATAAAGATGTATTACACGTCAATGAAGGGAATGATTTACTACTAACGTGCAGTGTACTTGGTCGACCTACGCCGATTATTTCTTGGTTCGTTAACCAAACAGAAATAAAAAATCCATGGAAAATTAAAACTGGCCGCGGGATTATTCAAAAGTCGCGGTAGGTTCAAAGCAAAAGAATTCTTTACGCATAATTACAACTTTTAAATAAATATATCTCTGAGATCTGCTCGGGAAATAAAAATATTCAAATGCTTAATAACAGTTTAAATACGACACACTCCATTACTGTCTTTATTTTAATAAACGGAAATCTCAGCTCACCTAAGCACTGACTGTTAGTGTTTATATCGCCTTTGGTATCAACTATTTTCGTTGGCATTTCAACTGTTGTATTTCTGTAGGTTCTAACTTGTCTCGGTTATAGCCTCTGCTGCATTTTTTTATTTTAGTGCTTATGCTTTGAAGAAAAACATAGTCGGAATTTGCACTGACCATGCACGTGGTCCGAGATCCCACTTCCACTCAGAGCACAACTTTGCCTACTGTCACATAGCCCAACAAAGAAGGAAAGTTAAGTGGGAGGCTAGCAACCCCATCCAGTAAGAACCACTAGTGTTACTGAAACTTCACAGTTCCAGCTTGAAGCTTTATATTTACAACCGGAGCGCAAAGGGATAAAAAACATTCATTTATTAAATTTAAAAAAAGTTTTGAAGCAGACACTTTTCAGGCGAAGATCAAAACCAGTAGAGATTCAAGTGAAGTATATGAAAGACAAACTTTCTAAGCATATATGTCCATACATGACGCCAGTTCTCGTGATGGCATATGAGTATGGGTAGTTTGAATACACTCAGGCTTGCAATTTACTTATAGTGAATTTTATTCTGTGTATTACAAATTCGTCCAAGTAGCTAGTCACATTTCCAGTGGTTTAAAACGATTCCATTACCTGGGCTGAGCTGAGCTGAGCCGAGCCGAGCTGGGTACACGGTTGATTAGCTTAGCTTGAACTGAGCGAAATGACTTTTCGATCTTTTGACGACTCAGGTCTGGGTAGTTTTCAACTACTAAAATAAATCTATTGTATATGGTGTCAAATAGATCATGTGTTTTGATCTGTGGTGAGCTCTCACCTTTAAGCATTATAATTTAGTGATAACGAATTGGATTTGTTGACGCTAAGTCAACAGTAGCTATCAGTATGGTATATTCTATTATTCTTCTTCGACAAAGACGAATTCTCCTGCTGCACAACTAAGAATACACATGAGTCAGCAAAACGAAGATCTCTTTTCATCATCGTATTTCACAGCTATACGGAGTTACTTAGAGGGTTTATATATGTGCAGTGTAGTTTGACAATAGAGGTCAAGTTTTATTGTCAGTTAGCAACAAAGCAAATAAAAGTGCATGAATAGTAACTATGCTGGAGAAATAAGGAATATTAGAACAAGACATATATGGGAATATTTAAAAATAAGGAATAGTCTTAAGTAATCAAGAGGGTTGAAAACTAAATAGCTGAGTGATGAATACTTGTTTGGAAATAGTTGATTAGAGACTAGAGAACGAAAGATTGAAAATGAGTTGCAAAACCATAAGACGGACTTATTTATTTATTATTTACTTTATTCCTATATGTTCCTAGAGGAACATAGGGCTCCAAGGTAGAGCTTTAAAGTTTCAGTCGCAGTGGTGTTTACTTTTACGAGGTGGGGTTGCTAGCCCCATGCCCAACCTTTCCCCGGCTTAGCATAGTTTAAGAGTCCGTCAGCCGGGGATCGAACCCTGGACCACAAGTGGCGTGGTTGGCAAGCATTTTACCGGTGTACCACCGACGCGCGTATGACAGACCACAGAGAGCTTAGTATAAGTTATTGAAGAAGACGAAGAGGGAAGAGAAAAAATAAAAAATATGCTGCTAGGGCTATGGTAGTAAAACAGACTGGATGAAACGTTTCTGAACGCAAATCTCAGGTTTCGCCTTAGAGACTACATGAAGAAGTTGTAGGCGAAATCTCCCCGAACAACTCGGTCGCTCTGATGCTGATGTTACTTGAGCAGATTTGAGTTGTAGACAGTTGTACTTTCCCCTTTTGACAACCACACTAATAAGTGTTCATGAGCACGTCTGGAGAATGTCCTCTTGGTACAGCCTATCTACTTAGCCTCACAGAATCAGGTGAATTGGTAGATACACATTGAAGTTGCCAACAACAGGATGTCGTCTCTGACCTCTTTTGGTGAGACGTAGAGATGCAACACTGGACATTCTTCGAATTCGCTCTCGATACGCCCTTTCCGCGAACTTCATTGAACTGCCCAACTTTAGTTTGCTCTACTAAACTGTTCACAAGGTGTTAACTGCCTAACTTTACAAATTATTGTTTTTGGTTATGACTATCTTATTAACATGAATACTAAGTGCCGACAGACGAAATATTATTCACAGCGAATATGTATTGAGTGAAAAGCAACTACCACTACCTGCCTGCCTGCCTACCTACCTACCTATAGCAAATGATACCGGAATAAATGAGATATGAAAGCAGTACACAAACATTTTTTATTATTTTTGCTTCAGAGTGCGCTACCTAATTATTGAAAAAGCTAATTATTTTATTAACCTCTTTTCGTACAATACCAGAAAGCATATTGTACTGTATACACTAACTGGCACACGTTCACACACACACGCAAACACACCTGCGCATGTACACACATAGGTAAATTATATATATATATATATATATTTAAAAAAAAACAGGTAAATTTCTACACACATTTATTGATGTAAGCATACAAGAATATCTTTCGTAGTGAAAAGTAATCACCTATGCGTTGTATCCACTTGTTGGTATCAGCGCATATATGTATTTATAATATTTACAGATTTAGTATTTACATAAATTATTTTATTACTAGAGCTTAACGCACACATCTTGATTCGACAGATTGACCTTTTAGATATTTATTTTAAGTAGATGTTTAAATACAATTTGACATTCGTGAAATCATATTCATAAACAAAAGTAGTATACAACAAGAGATTTGTACATTTCTAGTGTAACATTAATAACTAGGGGTGGGGGATGGGGGTTAGCAAAACACAAACATTTACACAGCTATACACAAAGACACGCACGCACATACAATCGTACTGACAAACTTCAATTTTCATCAGTGTAGAATACATTTATCTCTCAAGAGGTAGAACAAGACGAAAGAGAAGAAGGAAAAGATGCATACAGAGAAACTAAACTTGATGATGAGCCCTTTCAACTTGATAAGATTACTTCTTTCTGAAGGGAGGAAATGTGTTTAATTGGGGAAAATAACCAGAACTGTACTTAGTAATCAACCCAAGATTCCACTGATATATAGATGTGTGCGTGTGTGTGTGCGTGCACAGTTGTCCCTAGCCTGTTCCACAGTGATAACCGCTACAAACTACTCAGACTTCTTCGTAGTAACCAATGCTGAGAAGTATTTCTCTTCCGAGTGGAAAATGGAATGCTTCAGCAACAAATCTCCACTTCAACCTATCCTCTGATGTTCACTTTATGTACCCTCATGATTTCCCATAGTCTCTTATTTCCTCTTCACACAAACAACTCGTCGTTTCCCAATCGGATTCCCTTGTCGAATGATGGCCTGGCTAAAGCGCAAAATCACTTGACGGTCTCTGCAGCATGAATCTAATCAATTTCCATTTTCTCCTACATATTTGATAAGCCATGGACTGATTCGTCCCCAGAGCTTATAGCTTCCCATCCTTTTAAGCCATCTGATCTTCAATACTGAGCCAGGGAAGGCAGATGTTGATAAAAGCCTGCAGAAGACCAATCGAAATGCTTTCGTGATACACAAAAAAGTCTCTCACACATATATAGAACAATTGACTCACTTTACATTTATCTACAAAATACAATTCTTCTTCTTCTGCATACTCAGTGAAGAAGGTATCCACATCGCTTTTAGACTGATGAATATCTGTCTTCGCTTTCGATCTTGATTGGTTTTGACGTTATTATGCTTGTCGTGTGTGTGTGTGTGTGTGTGTAGTTGATAGGATGGTGTTTAGATGAGTGAAGGAAGTGATGTCTTCCGCATTTCTTCCACTGGTGGTGACTGATGTTTGTTAAGTAGCTGAATATTATTCAGTTATTTACGTAGAAGTCAAGTAATCAAGTCCCTCAAGGTGAATCAGCTGGAATATGTCAGAAATTCAAATTTGCTTCGTCGGTGGTTCAAATCATCTATGCTGAAGTTTTTAAGAAAATGTTATTACATCGCGTCCAGAGAGAAACACAGAGCTTCAAGGTTGGGCTTTGAAGTTTCGGTAACAGTGGTGTCATTATTTTTCACGGGGTGGGGTTGCTGTCCTAAGGCTCAACCTCACCTCTTTACCGCACTTGCTTTCTGCTAAGCTAAGCTTTAGGCCTGAACCCGAGACCAAATGTGATGCGATTGGCAAGCATTCTACCGCTTCACCACCAACTCACATCAATTCTCAGGTGGAAAGTAATCAAAACCTTGTAGTTCACTTTACTCTGATAATATAAACTCTTGAGAGGCTCGTAAAAGAAAATGAGGTGAAGATGACGATTAATTTTGATAATTTTTCAAAATAAAAAACGGAGTATGCTTCATTCAAGGTACAATTCGTATCCCAAAAAAAACCTAATGATAGACTCAATAGTCAGGCTTATTGTGTTTGAAGTCTTCTCTAAATTACGGATAGCTGTTTCGTCCTAGTAAAGAGTTCATCGGAAGCATGCATTCCACTGGATTTCAAACCCAGGACCTACCGGTAACAGGGAGAGCTCGTAGACGAGTCGGTCGGTGGGTACATGTACTTGCAATGAGTCTCAACCTAGAATGGGACATCCTTCCAGTACTCTTCAGTTTTCATTGGTCCTCTAATTGATATCAATCCATGGTCAAAACTAAAACAAACCGGATCTCTACAAACTAACTCTTGGAAATAAATTATATGGAGTCAGATAAAAACACACCAGACTATCACCCTAAAAGATTGAAGATAAAAGAAGAAGGACAGCTGGTTTGTTGCAAAAATGCCTAAGAATGAGATTAAATGTACCAATAAATCAGACTCATAAATGAAGTTTTTTGCTGCTTAAGCTAGCTAAC